CATTCAAAACACCTACAGAGTGCACGCATTACGTGAAGTGTAGTGCGCGTGCGCATTTACAGTGCGCTCTTTCATTGCATGATTCAGTCTATTAAAATACATTCAGAATGATCACAAATTCAAGACATGGGGGCCGAAAATGTGTATATTTATACCACGTCTTATAGTTAATCAATTTCACACGGAAGAGTGCCTTTTTTTCTCTCCAAAAATTACCATATACAAATGTAATATAGATTTTTTTTTTTTTACAACAGTTCAATAAACTAGAGACTTACATTTTAGACACCATATTGTCTGTTTTGCACTTATTTCGCCAACAAAAATAATTCCAAACAAAGCCACAGCGCTGTTTTGCTATTTCCATTACAGGTTTAGGTCTTAAATTTCATATAAGGTGGTATTAAAAAATTCTTAAGTCTTAAATTTAACTTGTTCATGTCTGTAGAAACCCTGTATTGTGGCAAAATAATAACATGTAAATAGATTTAAAAAGTGACTTTAAAATCATAGTAATATGTTGTTTTTCTTTATAATTAAACATTATATTTCAATTCCCTTTTTAATTTATTTTTTACTTTTTAATGTTACTTTACTTTTTTTTTTTTAAAGGGATACTCCATCTGCTTACCCTAATGCCATCCCATATGTATGTGACTCTTTCTTCAGATTAACACATAGATTTTTAGAAAAATAATCCATCTCTGTGAGTCCATATAATGCAAGTGTCCGGGACCTCCATAGTTGAAGCTTTAAAAACCACACAAAGTGAACATGAGGGTAACGAATATGACTCCAGTTGATGAATCAGTGTCTGTTGAAGTATACAATGGGTGTGTGTGAGGGGGAAAATTTTAATATTTTAAACTTTAACTATAAACCATTGCCTCCAGCCAGCTGTCATATCAGTTCACACTTGATGTAAACGTCAGTTGGTGAACATGTTGTAAAACTCACTTAAGAAGTGGTGCAGATGGACAGAGCACTGTTATGTTCACTTTGGTTTTTGAAGCATCAACTTTGGGAGTCCCATACACTTGCATTACATGGACTTAGTGATGGATTATTTGCCTAAAATTTTTTTTGTTTGTGTTCATCTGAAGAAAGAAAGTCATTAACGTCTAGAACGGCATGAGGTTGAGTAGATGAGACAATTTTTGTATTAAGCCATAATGTTATATTATCTGCCTAGTATCTCCTTATTTCATCTAGTCTCTGTTTCTCTTCATTGCTAAGGGTTAGGTAAAGTTTAAACTTAATGTATCTGCTCTTCTGTCTCAGGTAAGCGTCAGACAACTGTGCCCAGCTCAGAGACTCCAGCGGCGAAGAGATTAAAGATGGAGCCCAGCCCTCAGAGCTCTTCAGGAAATGGCACACCCCAACCAGCGTCAGGAAAATCCACCCCCAGCTCCAGGTACTTCTTTTTTTCTTTTTCTTTTCTTGAACATTACCCAGATCCAGAAAACCCTCAGCTCACTCTTCTCCCCATCTCTGGGTCCTGGGTCTTTTCTCCAGCCTCCAGCTGTGAAGTCTATTTCCTCTATCCCCTGAGACATGAACCCAGTTACACTTATATTAAACCATACAGTGCTGTAGCCAGTAACAGTATCACAATTCTCCACCACATTACAGTTCATGATGCCTATTTTATCCCTTCAAATCACAGACAAACATTGCCAGAGTCACAAACCATATTATGTCTTGCTTATTTCAAGCTTGTATAACATTTTTTGCATCTCCCCTTTAGTGATGTGCTTCTGACAGAGGATGCCGTGCGCAGGTATCTCATCAGGAAGCCCATGACCACTAAAGACCTGCTGAAGAAGTTCCAGACTAAGCGCACAGGCCTCAGCAGCGAGCAGACAGTCAACGTGCTCGCCCAGATCTTGAAGAGGCTCAACCCAGAGAGGAAGAACATCAATGACAAGATGCACTTCTACCTCACAGAGTGAGCCCAGCTGAGGAGAGAGTGAAACTGAGTGCCCATCACCAGCAGCCTCTCCTTTAAGAACACAGTTCATTTAGGTTAAGACCAACTTGATCTGAAATTTGTCGTTTTGCTTTCAACCATTCAGCATTTATTAACAGTAGTACTTAAGTGCTGTTAATTGATGCTGGAAGTCCAAAGAGTAAAAAGACAAAGAAGACTGAGAAGCAAGCAATGGAGTAGGTTTTTGTAACGGATATAGGAAAGATGTGTTTGTAAACTCCACATTTATGTCTGTTAATGACAAGTTGAATATTAGAGAGAAACTGGGTAAAATCAACACAATGATCTTTCAAGAAAACCTGCTGAATTTTGAGAGTAACTTTACCCAGAGATTAAAATCGCATCTGAGGCTTTTATTGCACATTCATTTCTTATTACATTTGTTTGCCTTTTTTTTTTTTTTTAACTGGTTTATCAGCGTTGCACTGTTAAAAGCAGTAAAAGGTATAACTTTTGCAGATTTCTCCTTTGGTAGTACATTAAATTTGTTCAGAAATGAATAAGTGTTTGTGTTCATTTGTTTTAAATGCATATTGTATGCAATAGTAATGTATTGTTTGAGTAGAAAGCCACAATATTGGATAGCAAAAAATATTTATTAATAGACATTGTAAATAGAAGCAGTTCCAGGCAGTGACTGTCTTCATTCTTTTTACTGACTCATTTTACATTATACATTGAACAAATCAAATCTTTCCCCTTCGTATCCACTACAGGTATTTGGACCACATTTCAGTGAGCTGAATGTTATCCTAATGTTAACAGTTGTTTTTCAGCAGTTGTTTCTTTGTGGTTGTTACAGGAAAAATGCATCCGATTGACACATTTTTAGCTATGTTTGAGCATCTGAAAGATGAACAATTCTAGACCAGGGTAGTAATGTGAAAAAGCCACAGCGTTTCCAAGATAAGTGCTAAGGTCAGTCCAGTCTCAGTTCAAACAGGCAGGTTTGGACAGATCACAGAGATGCGGCGATGACGTGGAACCTTCTGAGAAAAAGGATTCTTCATCTTTCAGGATTTCATGGGTACATTTAAAGGGGTGGTTGATTGCGATTTCACTTTTTTAATGTTAGTGTGTAATGTTGCTGTTTGATCATAAACAATATCTGCAAAGTTACGAAGCTGTTCAATGCAAACGGAGATGTCATCTTTTAAAATTCTGGCAATTTAATGCCTACAAAAAACAACTGGTAAGGGACTACAACGAGTTACTTCCCAGGTCCGTTACGTCAAGAACCCATAATTTTACATAAACCCCGCCTCCGGGAAACGCAGCAAAGGGGGCGAGGCCATGCTGTGCTGCTTTAGAGAAGAGGAAGAGAAAAGTAGAGGTGCACGTAAAAATCTATTCATATATGAATCGCGATTCTGTCTTCTATCGATTCTAATGGATTCACAAGGACGTAATGGTTTACAATACAACCGGAGCACATGCCTCTATGTTGAGGGGCGGGACGTTTAGACTCGCGCTAGAGGCGGTTTAGCCAATCACAACACACTGGGCCAGCTAATCAATCAGAGCCCATCGTGTATTTCTGAGGGAGGGGCTTCATAAAAGCAGGAAATGATCAGCGCGTTCAGAGGAGAAGGGACAGAGCAGTGTGGAATAACGGTAAATTATGTGAAAAATAATGTGTTTTTTAACAAATGAAGCATTAACACATGTTAGACTGCACCCCATAAACACAATCAAGCCTAGAAAAAAACCAGTCAACCACCCCTTTAAATCGAGCATCATCCCTGTTGATGAACAGGTGTGTTTTACAAATCAAATTTTGAATGAAAGCTAAAATAAATGTTCACATTTTGTGGAAACCAAAGTATTCTCCTGCCAGTTTTGTGAAATATCAAGAAAGAAAATGAAATACGCTGGGTATATACCTTAATATATAAAGTGAGCGCCGACTCAGAAGCAAGTCCACCCAATCTGTGGATTTGTTTTCTGGGACCAATCGCATAACAATATCGGACAACAGGCTTGAAGCGGGATTTATACGTTCGCCTGCCTCCGCTGACTGCGCGCAGCCGCGCACCTTCCCAAACGGACGAGGCTTTCATACTTGTCGTTGTCGCGTTCGCCGTTGTACTATTATTTGAAACGACAGGGGGCGACGAGGAGTAATTGTTCTCTAAAACCATCGATAATCACCGGTGAGAAGAAGTCATTTGCCGGTACAAGACTTCTCGCGTGATGAATGTGTTGATGAATTAATAATTTCTTTATGTACAAACTGATTAAAACAATCTTAAACTATTGGCTTT